ACGAAAATAAGCATGCAGACTAACTAGTTAGAAAAACCTTTCCAACCAAGAATGAAAAGAAAAGAAAATATTCCAGTCACATAGAAAGTAAATATACCCAATGAGGAGATTGTATGGACTTCCAAGAGACGCTCTAGAATAGAGCCTCCAAACAGAAGATAGTTATATAGATGAATGTATAAAGAAAATATGGTGTAAATTCTCGGTACATTTTTATTCAATCATTAAAGAAGAAAGAAATTAGACTGTTTTCTGAAAAATATGTGGAACTGTAGACTATTACATTAATTGAACTAAACTAGTCCCACAATAAAAGGTAACATACCTAATTTTTTCTTTCATCTGTAGAAGTTAGAGGGAAACAAAATAAAACAAGGTGAAGGGGAAACAAAGGAGGAGGCAACAATGCTTGATAAGAAATGTACTCATGGGGCTTAGAAGGTGGCTCAGTGGTAGAGTGCTTGCCTTGCATGCATAAGGCCCTGGGTTCGATTCCCCAGCACCACGTAAGCAAAAGAAAAAAAGCCGAAAGTGGCGCTGTGGCTCAAGTGGCAGAGCGCTAGCCTTGAGCTGAAGAGCTGAGGAACAGTGCCCAAGCCCAGAGTTCAGGCCTCATGACCGGACCCCCTCCCCTAAAAAAGAAATGTACTCATTACCTTGCCCATGTAATTGTAACCCCTCTGTACAGTATTTTCACAATAAATAAATAAATAAATAAATATTTTTTAAAAAGAAATGAAAGGTAAGGGATGTAGCAAGAGAAGGGAAAAGGGAGTGAGCAAAGAGCATAATAAAGAGTAATAATATGGGTGGTTAAGTTCTAAGCATATTCTACATACATTGATATATCATGATGAAACCCCTTACTATGTACAATTTAATATATACTAGTAAAAATATGGTTGTATTCAATAACCAAACTCAAAGCCCTGTACTCTCCCAGGAGAGCAGGATGAATAAAGGTTTCTTTGGGAATACCTAATGCTGTGGAATCCTTGTACTAATTCCAACCTCTCAAGCTCTGTACCTTCTTTCAGATCCAATCTCTACCTTTACTGTTTTTGTCATTATAAGTCATTGTCTCTGTCATAATTTCTATGGGGACAGATCTAGTTATAATATTCAATCTAAATTCTTGCCCTATCTCTATTAAAACCATTTGATATTCTAAGGTCTTTTAAACTTAACTTTATTTTATTGTAAGCAGAGGGTTTCTACTACCAGAATATTAATTCAATTTTATTTAATGAATAAAACATGTCTAATGTATAGCTATAAATTTACTTTTAATTATAGCTTTTAATTACAATCTCATTAAAGACAAATTTGCTGATATTAATGTATATTATCCATATATACTTTAACCATAATTTCAGGCAAATTTCCATCATTATTACATTTAACTATATTATATATTATAAGAGCTGGAATGAAAATTGAGAATGAAATGTCTATATTTTCATTCTTCATGCTCTTTTAGCATCCATCAAACAGTGCTAAGCTCCACAGTTGTGTTGATAAGGCAGTTGTTTGCAATACTTCTTCCTTGGTACCTTGTCCATCTGGCAAAGGAGGAGGAGAATCAAGAGAACAAAGAACAAAGGAGGGACCAAGGCTCAGTGGCAGCAGCTAGGAAAATGGCAGCTGGGAGACTACAACAAGCATCATTGTAGAAGCACAGCACATGAGACCATTACGTAGTCCGGGTTCTATTGTCCCTATATTGACAACAGACAGTGGAAAAGATTTTCTTGCATCTATACTTACACAAGATGAGAAGCATGAACCAGGGAGGTAACAGAGCACTTGAAATCGTTTTTTTAATGGGGTGTGGGAGAGAAAAATTCAAAAAATGTCGCCATAAGGGTTGAGATGCTCCCAAAGTGGTTTAGTTGTTTCCCAGGACACAAAATATTGACAAGATCTCAGCATAGGTCTTAAAAGAACTAGCTCAACCATAGCTAACTGTGGTACTTTGCATAATACAGCCTGTTACCAATCAAGCCTTCTGTGTGAGTGCCTGTTGTTCAGTGAATGTACACTAAGCATGCAAATCACTAAACTAATTTGGTTGGTTTTCACTTACCTTTTAGGCAACTGCTTGCTCATCTAGTAGCTTATCTATCATTTATGAAGACATTAAGTACTTAAAACTGTAGGGGGAAAACAACATCCCAACACCCCATTTATCCACTTCCCTCCTGTGAATGCCAAATCACTATGTAAGTACAATAACAACTGTTAAGATTTACTTCTTTTCTCACACAACAGACATTTATATTTGAATCCTCCTGCTCAATGAAATTCTAGTAATATTTTCCACTAACAAAGCCCTGCTCCTGTCAACCCATCCTTTGCAATAACCTATCAAAAAGTATGGTAAAGACCCCAACACCTTGGCAAATCTCTACTGAATCTCTCTTACCCATCTACTCTGACCTAGATCAAATCCTTGCCAACACATGAAGCTATCTTTGATTAGAATGTTCTTCTAGATTAAAGAACATGGTTCTTCTCCCTAATTTTCTTCCCTATAAATCAGGAAGGTTGAAGGGAACGAAATCACTCTTATTCATTAATGGCCTCTATCCTTTCCTCATTGGAGAAGTTAGGCTATGCTAGACGTAAGTAACAAAATACCTAATAAAGAGTTACACCATTGTCTGCATTTAAAAAAATTCCTAATAAAGTACCTAGATTTGTTTTGACTACTCAATAATGTCAACAAGTATTAAGGCTTTTCTCATCTTAGTTCACTATCATTAACATATTCACAAGGATTTTTCAATATGGCCCCACAGTTGGAAAATGGCTACCAAGCATCATGTTGTCATGTCAATGCCCAACATAGGAGACAAAGATCAATGTTTTTGTTTTTTGTTTAAATGTACTCACTTTCAGAACAGGGGTATAGCTCAAGTGGTAGAGTGAAAAAGCTAAGCAACAATAGAAAGCACTGTTTTTAAACCTAATACTGACATAAATAAATACATACATCACACACACACATACATACATACATACATACATACATACATACATACGCTCACTTTCATGGACCTCCTTTTGTCCAAATAGTTAAATTTTAGTCAAAAGCTCAGAAGAACTATTTTTTTTTCCTTTCCATGGCCAGAATTAAGACTGCTGCCCTAACTTTGATCAATAGTAGCCCATTACCATGAGCACACCTACACCAGATAAAACTGGAGGACATTAGAACAAAAAAGGGAATGGCCTGTTGAGTAAACACTTGTGTCTTTCTCATAACCAAAAAAGTCTAATGGATATGATGCAGAATTACTAGGCTTTCATCCTTCCTCCTCTCCCTTCCATCCCTTCCAATTTCTTTTCCCTACCTTCTTTCTTGAGACTACTAGTGAGCTTTAAGCAAAATAAAAATGATACACAATTCTAAAATCAAATTCTATTTCCCCATTTTCTACACAGTATAGTCCCTTAACAAATATAATAAAGAAGTATACTCCTTGTTAAGAAGTTACCAAAAAATCAGAATAAAGAAATAGCTGAGTCCTTAAAATATTGAATAAACCATATTGTATTTTCTTAGTGGTTAACTTTGCCATTTCAGCTCTACTTTATTTAGTTTTGAATTGTTTAGTTGCTCCAATAGACAATTGATACTGCAAATTAAGTTCTCTAGCCACTCAATCTGTCAAGCATTCAACTCAACATTTATTGAGTTTTTGTCTCACAGCAGAAAAAGGTGAACATAGAAAGTAAGCTAAAAATTACAGAAAGAAACATTGAATCATACAAATACAGCTACAGTCTAGCTATGATTTTTTAGGAATAGAATTTCCTTAACGCAAGGAATGTCAGTCTTTCAAATTATATATCACTAAATATCCTCTATGTTTTTCCTTTATAGTCTCATAAATCTAATTACTTGTTTTCTTTCATTTTTGTCTCCTTTTTTAACAGTAGCTCATTTATCTGAATCTATCCACTTATTCCTCAGTTTTGAAGTTGAACTTAACAGATGGAATAACAGATTATTAACTAACATCTGTGCTAACACATTTAACCTGTAACTCCTGCTGCGAGTAAAATTGATTTTAATTATAAGATTTGTGAAAATTTCTCTCACAGGTACTGTAAGTGAAACTGTCCAGTTCAGAAACAAGTAATCACCCTGGGTCTTACTGTTTGGTAGACACACTCATTTTACAAACAAGCAATACACACCACTTCACTTTACAAATAGCCCCATACTGTAAAATATATGTATATGTGTGTATAGTGTGTATGTGTATGTATATATGTATGTATGTATTGGTTATGGGGCTTGAACTCTGGGCCTGGGAGCTGTCCTTGAGCTTTTCATCTCAAGGCTAGTGCTCTACCACCTGAGCTACAGTGCCACTTCTGGTTTTCTGGTGGTTAATTGGAAATAGTCTCATGGACTTTCCTGCCCTGGCTGGCTTTCAATCATGATCCTCAGATCTCAGCCTCCTGAGTAGCTAGGATTACAAGTGTAAGTCACTGGTACCTGGCTGGTAAAATATATTTTTATCATGACATTTATGAACATCATAGTTTAGGGTCACTAGAAATTTGTGCCATCTACAATTGCATGGAAAGTAAGAAAAAATGATTACATGTGTTATTTTTTTCCCAGGCTATATCCAAATAGCCCATCACTAAGAAAGAGTCTACAGAGACAAAATATGGCTACAAATAATGAATCACTATTTTTCTCATGCAACAATGAAATTTCAGTAATATCTACATATTAAGTCACTAGATTTTCCTGATAATTGCCCAAACAAAAAGGAAGTGTGTCTCCACTTAGCCACTCATACACGTGTACACTATACCTGCACCTGTACTCTTAAGAGGACTATGATTTCTCTTCCTTGGCTCGTCCTTGAAATGTTTCAATTTGCAAACCTCCCACCTCCACCTACACAGCAGTTCCTTCTGTTAGTCTTATCTGTAGTTACAACTGTATAATACTAAAAGGTGATTTCATCACTTACCATCCTTAAGCAATCCTGAACAAATCGTACTCAGAAGAAGTTTTTGACGTAATTGCAGAACTTCTGTTTCCAAAGCTTCCACTTTTGATCTCCATTTGGACTCCCGCTCAGACACCAGCGTGGCCAGGTGCTCTGTATATTCTCTGCTGGTTTTGTCTGCTGGTTTTGAGCGGATAATTGCCAAGGCCAGAGCCACTTTTGAAGTTCTCAAATACCATGTTTGAACATCCATTCTGGTTTTTGCCCCTATCATTTAATTAAGAAAAAAAAAGTACAGAAATTCCTTTAAACTTTTCCAGTATACTTTATTTGAACAAAATTGATGCAGAGTAACACTAATTAGTAATTCTATAATATGATTTTTGTACCAAGTAACAGAAAAAATTCTCATTAAAGTTAGCATGAGAAAAGTATGCAGAAGAAAAATAAACACAAAGCATTGTAAGGATATTAATATTCTAAAGAGTAGATTTAGATAACTTCTTGGATGGAAAATATATCACTTCATTTAGTGGTTTTGAACCAGACACATGTATCAGAATCATTGAGAAACCCTCAGTATGTAGGGACTTGATCTCATTCATCCACAATTCCAATCCAGCAAATATGGGGTAGCACAAAGGTTGGACACTATGAAAAAAGTCTACCAAATAATAAGAACCACTAAATGATTGACTCATATTCTAAACCTTCCTCTCTCAAATCCATTCTCCTAAGTTTTGGGACATAGTCCCTTCCTCCCAACTCTTCATTTTCTAATGGATCTACACCTGCTATTCTTCAATTTAGCCAGCCTCCATCCTCCAATCTAAATAGAAACCACCTTTTAAATAATTTTATCATTTAAGTTGTACTTGTACTCCAATTTTGGACAAATATCCCCACTGCTACCATGAATGCACTTTTCCAACCAATGGTATTTCACAGTCTTTAGGGAACAAAATGAAAGATCACGCTGGTCTAATGACTTCATCTCATCTGAAGTATAAGCCATTTGTGGCCTCCACTGCCTGTTATTGGATTCTGATGGAGGCCTTGCCCATAAAATGTAAAATAAATTTTAATGAATAATTAAATGCACAGTAGACTCTTCATATCTTCAGTTCCTACATTCCTGTGCCTGTAAGTCACCCAACCCCAGACAAAAACCATGAAAATTAAACATTTTATTTGTACTGAACACGTACAATTTTCTTGTCTCTATTTCCTGAATAATACAACAGTCATTTGCACAGCTTTACATTTTATTGGTTATTCTAGCTGGTTTAGAGAAGATGTAAAGTATATGAGAGGATTTCCATAGATCATATACAAAAATACTACTTTTATACAAAGAATTTGAACACATTTTTACATTTGATGTTGTTGTCATTGTTAATGTACTATGTGAAGTTATTTCTTCTTTTTTCATTTTTTTCTTTTTCTCCCCTATGGTTTATCCCATGCTGTCACTGTGTATGATTTTGGTATCCTGTGTATTGTATATATTTATCTGAATTAGGGAAGGGAAGGGTAAGAACAAAATGGTGAGACAAAGGACAAGTGAAAAACAATGCAACAGCGATACTCACAAGAAATATGTTGGAAATGAACTTTACAACTTGGAGGGGTGTAGGGGAGAGGAAAAGAGGGAGAAAAAACAAAGGAGGGAGTAACAAGTTTGACAAGAAATATACTCACTACCTTACTGTAACTCCTCTGAACATCACCTTGACAATAAAAGTAACTAAAAAAAAAAACAAAGAATTTGAACACTCATACATTTTTGTTTGAGGAAATATAGTTGAGGAATATATTTTTTATTTTGGGGGGGGATCTAAATTCTCCCAACACACATCAGTGACTATGCAACATTCTAAAAAAAATTCATGTCTTTGATTGCCTCACTTAACCTACTAGCAATTAAAACATTATACCCCATATTTCACTTTATTTCCTGCAATTTCTCAAGCCTATCCTTCCATTATGATTATATCACAAGCAGAGTGCCCATGCTCATTCCATGTACATCTTTCTTTTTTTTTTTCTTTTTGGTCAGTCGTGGGGCCTGAACTCTGGGCCTGGGCACTGTCCCTCAGCTCTTCAGCTCAAGGACAGAGCTCTACTTGAGCCACGGCACCACTCCTGGCTTGTTCTGCTTATGTGGTGCTGAGGCATCGAAACCAGGGCCTCATGCATGCAAGGCAAGCACTCTACCACTCAAACACCTTCACAGCCCCCCTATTTACATCTTTGCTCGTGAATTTCTCCAAGTTATGATGTCCTGACTCTTATAACTACTAAAGCTTTGTCTGTGCATCTATCAAAGAACAATTCAAATACCATCATATAAAACCTTCCCAAATTGGTTCTCACTAACAGCCATGTGGACCTATTGATACCCTCTTATCAATAAAAATGTACAGTAGAACAGGTAGCCTAATGCTATAATTGTGATACAAAAGTCTTCATGTGTCCATCACAGCTATAGTTTTATGACACTGAAAACTAGCACTGAAAAAGAGGTAAATTAATACCAGGATCACTATAAAAATGACCATACCTAGTCATTTGTTTTGGTAATACTGGGATTTCAACTTGGGGCTACAAGTTTGCTAGGCAAGTATACTACTGCTTGAGCCTTGACTTTGAGCCTTAGTGGTCTGGTGACTTTTGAGATAGGGTTTTGATTTTTCCTGAGCCATCCTGAATCATGATCCTCCTATTTGTCATAGCTGGAATAACAGGTATACATCACAACACCTAGCATTTTCTGTTAATTTTGCATCTTGTGAATCTTTTTTTGCCCATGGTAGCCTAGAACAGTGATTCTGCTGCTTTCAACGTCCTGTGTTACTAGGATGACAGGCTATTAGTTATATTCAATGACCTATTTTGCCTAGGGTGCAATCACCCTAACTATGCTGTGAGAAACAAATGAAACATGAATGTATAATATGAGACCAATTAGACACAGAATAGAAACATTTTTAAAAAGCAAATAGGGTCAGGCTCTGGTGATTCATATCTTTAATCCTTCCAACTTGGGAGGATGAAGAAGGAAGGCTCATGGTCGGAAGCTAGCTGAGGCAAGGAATTTGCACACTCCCTTTTCAACCTATAGGTGGGCACAGAGGTGACATTTATTATCCAAGCTAAGTGAGAGGCTGGGATTGGGAGAATATTAGGCCAGCCAGGGAAAAATAGAAAAGTCTGCAAGAATCCATCTCCAGAAAGAGAAGCTGAGTCTCTGATCCCAGGTATGCTCTTGGGTGGGAAGTACAAACCTATCCTAGGGCTGAGAAGGTGGCTGAGTGGTAGAGTGCTTGCCTTGCATGCATAAGGCCCTGGGTTCAATTCCTCAGCACCACAAAAGCAGAAAAACATGGAAATGGCTCTGGGGCTCAAGTGGTAGAGCGCTATCCTTGAGCTGAAGAGCTACGGGACAGTGCCCAGGCCCAGAGTTCAGGCCCCGTGACCAGAAAAAACAAACAAACAAAACTATCCTAAGAATAATCCAAGTAAATCAGGACTGGAGGCATAACTCAGTGTTAGAACACCAGTCTGGCATGCACAAGGCCATTCATTCAAACCCCAACATTATTGTAAAAAACAGAAATTACCTCTAACTATAGAATTCTTGGGGATTTTTCCAAAGAATTACCCCAGCACACTGATAAGAAAAATTAAATACATGTATGTGATAAAACAAAATTCATATAAAGGTGAAGGAAAAGTAGAACCTAAGCACAATGTGCTGGTGAGTCCAAAATTGCATGGTTACACAAATATTTGTGGCAGATTTATTCATATCACAAATACTGGAAGCTATCTAAATTTATTCCACTAGTGATTGCATAAAAGACTGAACATACAGTCAGTTAACTACTGATATTTAAAAGAGAAAAAAAAGAATTATTGGAGATTTTGAGCTTCTTATTTTCTTTTTTAAACATAAATATACTTAATCCTTATGCATTTTTATTGTTATTATAAAGGTGATGTACAGATGGATTAAGCTATATAAATCAGGTAATGAGCACATTTCTTTTTTGGACAGTCACACTTTCCCTCGCTCCCAATTTTTCCCTCCTGTCCCCACCCACAAGTTGTGCAGTTCATTTCAACATAGTGAATACCACTGCTGCCTTTGTTCATCTTGTGACCCACCATTTCCATGTCCTTATCCTCCAAAAGATAAATGAATATTTTCATCTATTTTCTTAGATTAATTTTCTGCATTGATCACATATGGCATTCTAATGAAAAAATCATAAAGCAATTTGATTTCCAAAATCAAAATCGAGTGTCATTTTTTTAGCCTTTCACAGCTGGTAAATACACCAACGACTACAAACTATTAAGATGGACATGCTAATTAGAATTATAATAGCTCCATTTATTTTAGCTTTTGAAGCATCCATTCTACTGACTGGTTCATCCTCCATCTGTCAGGTCAGGGAAGGGAGCAGTGAACTCTGACACTTACTCATCTCAGAAAAGCCTCCTTAATGCAGAGGACAGGCACATAGACCACCCTCTCTGCAGAAATGAGCCTGCAAGCACTTGTAAGATTACTGACTCCCTCTCACCACTTATGTCTATTGGCAAGGGCTTCTGTGAGAGAAGAATTTCCCATTCAATTATGAATGGTGGAAATTCAGGCTAAAAACACAACCCAGAAGCACCGTTTTGTTTTTGTTTTTTTGCATAAGAGGTAAAAGCTCACTGTTTTATAAAACACAGCTATCTCTGTCATCTTGCAGAGATGTTTTAATTAAATGATTTAATTAAATGATTAAATGTCTTGATTTTTAAGACACTGTATGAGATTTGTTCAAAGTCAACCATGCTGAATATCACTTATCAGAAAGAAAGATCAAATTAAAAAGGCCTTCTGGATTGTAACAATCTCAGGGTCCCTCGTCTGAACATTAGTTAGAATTTATCACAAATGAGCTGAAATGATTGCTAATAGAGATGTGTGGCACAGGCTTATAAGGTATAAATCACACTGATAACACACATGGAGCTACAATGCACAAATAACAGAACAGGGTTTTTAGGCAATTTTCTAGTATATATCTGTTTTCTGTGTCTGTGTCTGTGTCTGTGAGTGTGTCTGTGTTTGTGCGTGTGTGCGAGAGAGAGAGAGACAGACAGACAGACAGACAGACAGACAGATGGACAGACAGAGAGAGTACATATATTTAGCCATGTTTACCTTTTAAGCTTTAGACAGCACACCTATTCTCAAATTGC